GGGATGGCAAGCCTGAAGGGGTGCCTCCACACGCTGATTGCCAATTGTCACCTGATATTCTCTGACAAGTGTAAGCCAGAGCGATGGCTTGTGGGAACCGAGATGCTAACTTCCATGGGCTTTCCTGTCCTTCCAGGTTTGCTTGAGGAAGGAGAGGTGTTGCCTGGCTTTGAATCTATTGATTGATGCGTGCGTAAACTGTGTACTGTGTAAATGTAGAATGGAACACGACCATAGAATAGAAGAAACAATGTTTACGTTAAACGTAGTAGAAGCCAAAGCAAAACACTCATAATACAATACTGATATTCACATCGTCATCGTCATCATCATCATCATCATCAATCATTGGATCAACTTCAAATCAGCAAACCATATTTAAGGTGCTTTCTGAATTCTAGATTACCAATTCCTCAGTGTCAACTTACCCGCAATGACAGCATTGCGCATTGATTAACCTTGATTCATACTTCGATGAAGTTTAAGCTTCCTTGCTTCCGAGGCTGTGTGCGTTCAACTTGCCCAGAGATGGAAGGCAGTCTCGCACTGTTTGCAAGCAGGCTGGCGATGCCATGAATGTGTTGATCATGAGTGCGCTTCACCTGCACGGTCTTTTGTGCTATCCCAGAAAGGCATCTCCTGCGCTCATGAAGAACATCTATATTGGCAGGCAAATGCTGCAGAGAAGCATGTGTCAAGCAAAAGAGAATCCAAACAAAAAGATTAGACTCTGTGGCAAAACGGGCGTAGCTGATGTGTGGGAGACGGCAATGCTCCGAAACGAAGCGTCAGCGTCCGAGTCAACGTTCATTGCGAGTGGTGGTGGTGGTGGTGATGGAAGTTCACTGCCGATGAAATCCAAAGCTGCTGCCAAATCTTCTTCAAAGAAGAAAGGGGAGTCGGAGACGGAGAGCGCGAAGATTACTGAGAGCACTACACCTGCAGGGTGCATGCCTTCTTTGTCGGCGAAGACGAATGCCTCTGCCACTCCTAAGTCTGAGTCTGTGACTCTGCCTCCTCCTCCTGCCAAAGTGGGCTGGTTGGCAAATGATGAAGTAGCCCCTCTTGAACATGGTGAGGAGCCTTTTCCTTCTTCAAGTTTGCGTTCAGCTTTGGCCGCTGCAAGAAAGCCCCGGCAAACACAGCCGCGGTCGCGGCCATCATCATCATCAGCAAGATTGTCAAGCTCAAGATCGGAGAAACCGGCCATGTCACTGGATCACTGGTTTGCTTCCAAGTGACTCTGAGATACAGAGAACAGAAGCCTCTGCCAGTTGAAGCTGTGAAGACTTAGAGTTGGTATGTTTGTGATCTGTGCCGTGCGGTCTGTGCATGTAATTTGAAATCAGGGGTTTGCCGGGGTTTGCAAAGTTAATGGCTCATGCTTTTATCCAGTGCAAGATTGGACAAACAGCTTGGAATCATCCGCAAATTCAAGAGTTAGTTACGCCTGTGGATTGGGTGCATATGTCTGTGGAGATTGTCTTTCAGTGTCTTGTATGTATTAAATGGAGAACTTGCTTCTTCAGTTCCATTTCATGGTGGTGGTGATGCACAACATTCGTTCTAACTACTCTTTAGCCAGCCGTTTGCTAACCTGATAGCCTGATAGCTCGATCACTGGAAAATAGCAGTTAGTCGCCAGTCGTTGCAGAGGTTTCTTTTCAACGCTGCTCTGCAGCATGTTAGAAAATTGAACAGGGCGGTGTTGGTGTCTTTCGACCAAACGATAGCGTAGCGTCGGAGTTGGCAAAAGATCTCAGGCTTTCAGTTTTCAGGCTTTCGTTTATGCTTAGTCAAATAATTAGTCACGAGTCAAGTCAAGTCACAGTGTTTGTAAATTTGACACATTTGCAAATTTTGCTTTGACTGGTGCTGCATGCAAGCAAGTGCATCTGTGCATTCTGTGCATGTCTTGACGTCATGTCTTGTATTCAGGTGCAAATGATGTCAAGTCAAGCGTTTTAGATTCCAAGCAGACGAAGCATACATTCTGTTCTGGCAGTTGTGTTGTTGTTCGGAGGCCATTTTGGTTCGATTTGATCGCTGTCAGCAAGTGACTTCTTGTTGCTCCTTCCCTTCCTTGGGTTGAGGGGAGATGGCTCCGAAAAGCAGTGTGGCTGTCAAGCCACGAAAGGATGGTGGTGATCGTGATCAGGCTATGGAAATGCCTGAGAACCGTGGCATTTTGTGGGGCAAATCTCCGGAAGAGTGCTCCAAGCAAAACATTGACCTTTTCCAAGCAGACGTAGATCCTTCCTTGCTGTTCGGTGACTTGCATGGAGCGGCACTTCTTGACCAAGTATATGCCTTTTACGGTGATGGCATCTACGATGTTCCCTGGTTTACCAAAGGTGGTTCCAGGACTGGTAGTTAAAACATTGTCAAATTGTCAGCAAGTATTTTTGCAGTGGCCAATCAGCTTTCCCATCAGGCAAACAAACATTGACCAGTGACAATCAACCTCCAACCAACCAGCAGTGTATTACATTGTTGTATATATATATATATGTATATGTTGTTTTACAATATCTGAATTTTAAGAAGATGATATGATAGTCTAGTTCTTTGATCAGACATTGTTGTTCCTGCCACAGCCACGGGCCATGGGCCACAGCACGTGTTTTGTGTAGGAGTGTGGAGCGCTCACCATTGTCACGCCCCATCCAAGAGAGCACGGCAGAAGCATACAAGGCAATTTCGGAGTTGTGGTGGGCACCAGATGGCTATCCAATACTAATGTTTGATGTTTAGCAGTGTGGCAGTGTGATGTTCATTGTTCATTCTCATTTTATGAATCACAAGATTGGAGACAACTTGTAGTAGTTGAGTTGTAGGTAGGTCTGTTCGTCAATTAGACTCTGACTCTGACACTACAACTGTAGAATCGGGAACTGTGGAATTGTGTTTTTTAATTTTGTGTTCATTTCAAATTCATTTGCAATGGAAACATGTTTCAAATTGTTGGCAACAAATCTTTATTGCATGTATGTATGTATACGTATCCGTGCACTTCTTGCAGGCCCGGATCTTGCGAGAAGGCCTCAGCCAGCTAGCTGCTGGCGAGCCAGTGCTAAAGTGGAAGGATTCCGAACGGACCTTCCCTGCAGAAGCAGGCACTTTCAATCATCGAGCGGAAGCCTTTTACCGTTCGTTTGAGAGCAATCCGGAGAATGCTTTGGTTCAGGAAGTAGCCAGGAGAGGATTGAAAAGTGTCAAGTTCCTGACACTTGGCTTGGAGGCTGTGGCTGTGGCCGTGAGGCGTTGGGCGTTGGAGGGATAGAATATATAAACAAACAACAGCTAAAAAAAGACAATTACTAAAGCACTGCTACTCACTAATTAGGATGCGGATGCGGATTCAGGCTGTTTGTGCATGGGTGAGCAATTTCATATTGGCCAGGCAGGCCAGGTCGATTGTCAAGTTCAAGTTGTGAGGTGTGAATCGGTTGTAGTAGTAGTTTTCCTTTGCTTGTCTTTTGTGGAAAGTTCATATAGCAGATCAGGCATGCGGTGTGCACAAGGATGAACTGATTGTGGATGGACAATGGACTGTAGAATGTAGAATAATGTCAAATTTAAACTGGTGAATCAGTGATTCACGTGCACTGATACTCAGGAAGTGGAACACACCGAGTTCCATTTGGGCTGCCTTCATCTCGACCCACAATGGGTTTCATACTGGCAGTGGACAATCCTTCATGGAAGTGGGAGAAGATGCTATCAAAGTGGAAGCAATGTGGAAGCAGCAATGCACACAAACGGGAATGAGTAACTTGTCAGAATATACATATATTGCACTGGTTCCAAAAAGGAATATCTTAGTTGATTTCAGAAGATCTTACCACTCTTGCCGCTGTCTTACCACGAATGCGCCTATACAGATGTCATGCATGATTCATGCGTGATTGCCTTTAGTATCCAGCATTTCATGCGTGAAGTCAGCCAGAGCGGGTTGTCAGCCTCTTTGGCTTTGCAATTTCACCGTGAACTGTACACTAGGTTTGGCTTGTTGTTGTTACGTTGTTCTTTCAATTAGCATTGATTGAAAGTTGTTTTTCTTGCGTTGTTGAGAATGGACACTCAAGCTTAAAGTGCTTTGCAGTGATGTGACGTAACTTGCCCAAAGCCAACAACCAAGGCACGGCAAACCCGTCGTATCGCAACCACTACGAGGCATTTGTGTTTGCAAAGTCGATATTCTTCCGCAAGTGGCAGCACTTTGCCAACACGCTCTCACTGGTTCATTCGTTGCAGCGGCTTCAAGTGTGGCCACTGTGAAAGATTTAGTAAATAGTTTGCCAGTTCGCCAGTTCACTGTCAGACTGTCAAATCAGGTGTATTTGTTGTGGTTCTTTGCCCCAATAATCCCAAAGCGGGAGCTTCTCCCAAAGGCGGGAGCTTGTCCAACGCGATTCTCGCATGAGTATCTAAGGGATTCCTTCTGCAGTTGGTCTAACAGATTCGTTGACTTCTTGGATGCAAAGTGTGACCCGCAATCAGCTCTGAGCTTGATGCACTCCCTCACCATTTTGATAGAGGGCAACATGAAGAGATTCTATGAGCCTGCTCTCATCTCAATTTGTGTGGAGCAAGCTTTGAAGTTTTGCGTTCAGGACTTAGTCACATTTGGGGCGCACGGGCGCACGGGCTGGTTCGCCCGCTTGCTGATTTAACAAATGTGTTGTTCAGATCGATCAATCCATCCATGTTACCATGTTTGGTTTGGTCTTCATCGATTCGTCAACTCAACCACTCAACCACCGACTCTTGACACGGAATCATGAATCAATTAATGCTGCTATGCTGTGTGCTGGTGTCATTGCATGAGACTGTGACTGTGAACGCTGAAAGAATTGTGAACTGTGTTCGTACAGTTTGATAGAAAAGCTTGATAGACTGATAGAAGTCCATTCCATCTTGCCGCTCACCGCCCATCATTATCATCATCATCATCATAATCATCATCATGTCGTGTCGGCCTCTCACTGCAGGTTCCTATGGTTACCACTGGTGCGGAGAGGCAGATCCCCTGGATCTTTCAGAAGTCAAGCGAGCAAACCATGATGCAGATGAACCTCTTGAACCTGTCTATGTCAACTTCCGCAGTGTTTCGCAAGATGAAGCTCATTGATGATGACAAGGCTGTGAAGGCTGGAAAGGACACCGGCGCAGACAACATTGATGCATCCAGCAAGAAGAAGAACTTGGCTCAATCAGTGAAGAAAGATCTCTCAATGATTGGTCTGGCATCTGCAGCGCCAAGCGTTCCTGGAAATGACCTGCATGGCGAAGAAGGTGATGAAGATGATGAGCAAGAAGCCACTGCGTGTGGATCATGCGAACCACCATGCAGTACTAACCCAGAGTCATTGGCCAAGAAGCAGAACTTGTCGGGCAAGAAGGGTGCCATCAAAGCAAAAATTTTCAATGGCTACCATGTGGATGAAGTGAAGGGATACACTTCTTTTATCACAGCCATTGATGGTTCTGATGAGAAAAGAGAGAAAACGGCTCTTGATGAAGCCATTGGTGCGCTGCAATTCATCGCAGACATGGTGGCAATGTCAACGCCTTCGGGAGAAGCACGCCCGAAGAAGAGGGCAAGGAAGGACAAAGATTGTGGTGAGCGCAAAGTTGATGGCATGCTCAGCACCATGCTATTCTGCCTGGGCATTTTCCTTGAGTTTGCCTTTGCCGGAGAAGCAGTGTCAAATGGCAAGCTCTTCAAAGTCTACAGTGCTTTGAGGACAGAGCTTCAGCAGATCCTGCTTACCGCGAGTGAGCAAGTCCTTATGGTTTCAGCCAATGGTGGCTCTCAACAACATGTTGATCCCATTCAAGTCGCCAAGATGCTGTGTGCCACCTTTGCTTCAAAGCCCGTGAGCCAAATCGTGTTCGACGATGCCGAAGAAGCCAACATCAAGCGAGTGACTACGGTGATGTCCTTGCATCGCTCCGACATTGTGATCCCACTCACGGATTTCTGCAAGGACAAGCTGCATTTGCCATTGATGCTGATGGACTATCCTATGAAGACGTTGAAAGCTTTGTCTACGGAAGTTGACAAGTCATGCATTAGGAATTGCATGGATTTGATGGCGTTTTTGCACAAGAACCTGGCAGAGAACCTTCCGTTCAGCTGGTTCTGCTTTGCTCAAGATGTGAGTGACTTGATCACAGCAAAGGGACATTTCGTGGAGAAATCAGAGGAGGCAAGGACAAACTACAACTACTGTTTGACTGCTTGTCCTGTCCACTTGTCCACTTGACTTGACTGTTGATTGCATACTCACACTGCATACCACACGAAAGAAACCATTGGCAGTCAAAGTCATAAGTCATAACTAATTGTCTCTTATACAAGGCTTTGAGCCAACCAACGTAGCTTATGATAAATGATGAAAGGATAAAAGGACTCGAGTCGGAAGGACATTTTTGTTTTGAAGTATATATATATATATAAATCATATACTATATATACACACGTATTACATGTATTATGAATATACTTATGTGCTTATGATTTATGATGTAGGAAAAATATACATTCCCTCACGCTTTGCCAGTCTCTCCTCAATACTACTATTCAATTTTCCAGTGTTCATGTTGCTTTTAAACAAATTCCATTCAAAGGCCCTTGACCTCACCTCTCTTATCCTCCCAATGCAGTAGTTATAAGCTGGTGGCTGCTGATTAAAGACTTGACGCCACTGGCGCCACTGCAGTACTTTGTGATTTGCGGTGTATTCTGTATGCACTTTCGTATGACTCATATTATAGTATTGGCCCTATTGGCAATTGGTTCAGTTATATATCAAAGAAAAAATGTATCGCCATTAACTTCTAATATCAATAGTCAATAGTAAGATTTTGGAGGAAAGCACTGCGTCCCTAGTCTCTAGTCTCTTCTTTGATTCTTTGTTCATTCCATTCCCACCCTTCTCGCCAAGTGCAGTGTATGTATGAATGTAATGAATGTATGTCGAGCAATTTTTTGATGATGACAGTTGTTGCCATCCATCAGTGAGTCAATGAGTCTCTGAGTAGTTTGTTGTTGTGACTGACTGCTGTTGTGATGGCTGCTTGCTGTTGCAGTTCGCGGTGTGCGGTGTGCAGTGTCCAGTCTGCAATTTCTCAGTTTCCTCAGTCTGTTAAAACTATGGACCAGGACCATCCAATATACATTGTAGGACTGTAGGTCTGTAGGAAGGAAGTGTATCTTTCTTCGCGCTCACCAGCAGGTCTTCAAGACAGAGGTTACTTTGGAGAAGTTCCTGTCCTTGCGAGTGAAGGCCACCATGTTTATCCTGAATGAGGCGGTTCGGAATGTTCCAGACTTTGCGTTGATGGAAGAGAGTGAGGAGTGTAACAACACCTTGTGCTCCTTGCATTGCCTGAAGGATGGCTCAGAGACCTTCTTGTCACTATCCACCTGTGACATCTTGCTTTCGTCAAAAGATTGGGCCTCCACTTGGGCGTTGTCTCTCTCTCAAGCCAAGTCCATGGATGACTTGGCAGACCTGATGTTGGAAAAGCTTGGCCTTGACAAAGCAACTATTCTTGGAAGATCCAAGCCGCCTGCTCCTAAGACATCCGAGGTCTCCCCACCCAATGCTTCGGAGAAGAAGGAAGAGGCGGAGACGAAGGACGGGGAAGGGGAAGGTGAAGCTGCTGGTAACGGTGGCGACCATGGCGACCAATCAGGCGTCTCGTCTGGAAGTGATACTGTAATATTTTAGTTTTCTTCCAGCTAGCAAAGATTATTTTCCCTCAGAGGTACAAGCCATTCAATTCAACGAATGATGAACAAATTCTGAAAATTAAACAAATAACTAATAACTAATGAATTATAGTCAGAGTGAAACATTCCTTTTTGATTTTGCTTTTGTACGGCCGAGGTAGCAGCAAAAATGGAGGGGATCCTGTGCCTGATGCCGATTTGATGGCCAAACTTGATCTGGAAGCCGTTCCGTTGGCATTCATCAACGACTACCAGGGATGTGCTCCTGAGGGTCAAGTGGGCTTGTTTGCAGACTCCATTGAGGGCCGCTCTTTGCAACTGAAGAGTGATGCATTCACTGGCAGCTTCTTCAAAGCTCTCCAGTGCAAGCTGGAGTGCGCTTTGTGGCAATACTACAGCCAAGTGAAGGAAGAGTCAGTGATCATCAACCTTGCTGGCAAGAAGACTGAGGCGTTCATCAAGCTACCAATTCCAAGTGACCTCAAACTTCCCTTCATTGGATCTGTCAGCCAGATCAAGTCGAAGAATGCTTTGCCGTTAGCAACGCTTTTCGGGGTTCCTTTCTTCGTGGAAAGTCGCGGTGGAGAAGCTCAAAGTTCAGATGTCTTCGTTCCGGCATGGACAGTGAAGACTGTCAGCAAAGTAGATCAGGCTTTTCTGCAAGTGAAGACTGAGCAGTTCCATCTCTTGCTTTGGATGCCAGCTGGTGCTACAAACCCCAATCAGATCTGCGTGAGGTTGAAGGAGCAGAATCCGTTGCAGTCCGCGATTGATCCTGCTCAGGAGCTTGACTCAGGCATCGCAAGATACTGTTCTGTGGAAGCCACGCTGCAGTCCTTGAGGCCTTTGCCCGATGTGAATGAGAAGGTTCAGAAAGGATTCGAACTTGACCAGCAAAGGGCAGAAAAAACAGCTCGTGGCCTTGTCGAATCAGCCATCAAGAAGAAGAACAAGGAGGCCGGCAGCAAGAAATGCAAGAATGCACTAGCAGGTATTTGCGGTGACCTGCCTGAGGATCCTGACAAACGTGCAGCAGCCATTGATGAGCTGATTGGGGATTGTGATCGAATTGAGGAGGTGATTCAGAATGCCATCAAGCAGGTGAAGAAACCTTTCCGGGTGCCTATCACAAAGCTTACATCTGAGGATCGAGGTGGGCTGCGGACAAAGCAAATGAAAGACGCTTTGGCAGCTGCGAAGAAGCATGATGCCCTCAAGCCAGATCAAGATCATGCCGATGACAAGGATGATGCCGCACCTGCTGTCCGTGGAGTGCGGGCAGTGCTCCAGGACGCAGAGACGAAGGGCATCAAACCGAAACCCAAGAAGGCTGCCAAGAACTCAACTGGCAAAGACTCCAATGCCAAGTCTACCTTGGTAGAGGCCAGGAAGTTGGGAAAGCATCTTCTGAAGTGATGTGAGGCTGAAGCGGTCGCCTTTTTGTGCACAGTGCAGAGATTAGCTGATTGGCTGATGGAATGTATAGTAGCACAGAGTGCTTGTGGTTTGGCACTCTGCTGGCGCGAATGTGGCTGCCAATCTTAGATTGGCCCAATCTTCAACCTTACTGTATGTGTACAGTTTAGCCACTGCCTTCAGAGCGTCTGCTTTCATCTCTCAGTCTCTCAGTTGGTTTCGCTTTTAATTAGCATTGTTAGCTGACTCGTTGACTTGTTGACGAACAGACACACGACAGTCAACAGACGGTCAACAGTCCAAAAGACCTTAGATGGCATCTTTGGATGTCAGAACTCAGAAGCAATCTTTCAAGAGTTTCAAGAGTGTGATGGAAAAGGAATGCTCTCGAATGCATTGGTGGCAGCTGCTCTTCTCAGCACCGTGCATCGTGTATCGTTCGTCGTTCGTTCATTCACTGTTTGGTGGTCAGTCGTGGTAGTGGCAATTACCGGTCATCATTTTTAAAATACAATTCAATTTTCAAATCGATTATTAAAGACCCATAGCTACCCCCATAGCCCCATAGCAGCCCTAAAACTTAGCAGAAGCATTGGTACTAGCAGGCGCTGGTCACTCTCATGACTTCGGGCCTGCACACTCTCCAAAACGCTTGCCGACATACAGCTTCACTACTTCGCTAAAACTGACCGTTACGACCTCACAAGCATCCTCGACCTCCTCTTCTTCACCACCGCTACCACAACCCGCGCGAGCCTCCACCACCCCTCAACGAAGATGCTGATTGGGACGCTTGGGATGGCGATGCAGACGTTCGCCTCGTGGAACTCAAAACTGATACCCGCCTCCGGCCGAACTGGAACTACGTTGCTCGTCGAGTCGGCTTTTCCATTGCACAGTGCAAAGCACGTTGGGAAGAACTTCAAGAACCCCAACAAAAAGCAGTGAACCTACACCCCTCGCCCACACCCACTTCACCTGCCAACACACCACCGGCTTCTCCTGTCCCATCACCTCCCTTGGCAGCAGCGCTACCACCACCGGCACCACCTTCAGCCCCGGACTTCTCCTACACACCTACCACATCTCCATCACATGCACCGGCAGCCGTCGCCATGGCCGATGCTACGCGGAACTAGCTCTGGTCGCCCCGGCAGCAGTGGACGCTGCGCCCGCTAACCTCAGTGAAGATACTCCTTCGGACCCGGCAGCGGCTGACATCGGTAGCTACTTTGTATAGTTCTGTTTCACCCAGTTCTCTTCGGCGCGCCTCTAGCAAACAATTTCTGTGTACTGCTGAACCATTGACTACGGACCTTTGCAGTTTTGAAACCGTCACACAATTTTGAATTCAGGTCAAGTTTCCGCCATGTTCTCATCTTGTACAGCTGATCATCGTTTTT